ATTCCTATAGATAATTCTTCGATAGAGTTCATTAATATCTGAACTCATAAGTTTCCCCCCATCGATCTGAATAATAGGTCTCAACTCAGGAGGAATTACTGGTAATAGACATAAAACCATCCATTCTGGTTCTATATTTGTTCGAATAAAATGTTTAGCTAAGTCTATCCGTCTAACCAAAAAATCCTTTCGTCTTGTAGCTTTTCGATCTTCCCATTCATTCCCTGTGCGCTTTTCTTCCCCCAAATCTTTCCATTCTAGTAATGAATTTTCTGCAATCATTCGCAAATCTATATCGGCTAATTGTTCTCGGATAGCACAGGCCCCCATAGAAATTTCTCGATTTCGAAATGTATTGAAACCTTGAGTATTGAAAAAAAGTCGAATGCTATATTTCCACGATTGGATTTCATCTTTGAATAAACCCCGTAATCGTAAGAAAGTGGGTTTTTTAGTTATGGGCCTAGCAAAAGAAAAATTGGGATAGGATTTTATAAGAGTTCCCCCCCTCAAAATCGGACGTGAATGTTTTCTTTCATCCGGCTCAAGTAGGTACATGAAGTAAACAATAAAGAAGAAAAGAAACACAAGTATCTCTTCGTTTCAAATTATTGACAACCCCAAATTCAAAAGATAAAAAGTTCTACTCCTTACTCAAGTTTCCATTGATGGCAAAGCAATATATAACCCGTACTATTTCATTTTTGATTTATATTGAATTGAGTCTTATTCTAATTTGGGAATTCTTTAAGTTCAATTACAACATAAATGAAATGTAAAATTTTTTGAGTAGTCTCCTTCCCCTCGAACAATGAATCCACTACGTATTAATAAGGAAACGCCATATTAGTAAAGTAGTAATTTAGAATTAATAAGGGATTTACTTGTCTCTAGATTGTTCCATTTGATCTTTTAGGCCCCACTATATATATCTCGATGGTTTAGGCGGACGCTAAGCCCTTTTTACTAAAGCCTATATGCGATCAATAAACTCCTATAACCATGCCCTAATTTGCTTACTTGAATTTCCAAATGAGAGGAAATAGGAAATTTTAAGGTTCATTCAACAAAACAAAAAAGTTTCTTTTTTTTTACGAGGTACAAAGAAAAAATCCTATTTATTTGATTTGGAATGAAATCAACCATAGATCAACTCCCTTTTTTTTTGTGGAAGTGTAATTACTACATCCCAATTCTGAGCTTCATGTTTTGCTTTCCAATTCACATGTCAGGTCTAGGGCATCCCAATTGGATTAACTGGGATAACAGTTTCTTGTTCTGAATCTGTAAAATCAAAATTTCGATCAAATCACACATCGCCATATACTAAGCCCTCTAACTCTTGAAGAGGTTTATCTAAAATATTCGCAATATAACTAGGAAGACGTTTTAAATACCACACATGAGTTACTGGGGCAGGCTAGTTTGATATAGCCCATTTGATACCTTCGGATCCGAGAATCCACAAATTCAACTCCGCATTGTTCACAAAATTTGGGTTTATCTTTTTTATCTCCGATAACTCGATAATTTCCACACGCGCAAATTCCACTTTTGATAGGCCCAAATATTCTTTCACAAAATAATCCATCTTTTTCTGGTTTATTTGTTTTATAAAGAAAAGTATAAGGTTTTGTTACCTCGCCAACTATTTCACCATTTGGCAAAAGTTTACTGGCCCAAGCACTTATTTGTTGAGGAGAAACCAATCCAACTCGCAGCTGTTGATGTTTATATCGATCAATCATAAAATAAAAATTTTTATTAGTTCGGATTAGATTAAGCTTCCTTCCTATGAATCTGGAAGTTCTTTTCAGATACCAGGATATAATTCAGTTCCAGAGCTAAAGATCGTAGTTCTCGAACGAGCAATCTAAAAGATTCTGGAGCATTTTTTGTATGAGATATTGTACCTCCAAGAATCGTAGTACCAAGTACTTGCTGACGAGCTCTAATATGATCCGATTTATAAGTAAGCATTTCTTGTAAAATATGAGCAACCCCAAATCCTTCGAGAGCCCAAACCTCCATTTCCCCTACCCGTTGCCCCCCCTGTTTCGCTCTTCCTCTAAGGGGGTTGTTGTGTAACAAGCGCATAATGTCCACTGGAACGCCCATGCAGTTTATCATCAACTTGATGAAGTAATTTCAAGATATAAGCGTTACCTATTAGGATAGGTTGTTCAAAAGTATTACCCGTTCTTCCATCAAATATTCTACTTTTTCCTGGGTATTCGGGTTCAAATGCCCATGGATGCGCTGTTTTTTTTACTGGCTTCATGTAATTGAGAAAATACTATTTTTCTCGAAGCTTCTTGTTCGTATCTCTCATCAAAAGGTGCGATTCTATAATGTCTATCTAGCAAACTCCCTGCTAGCCCCAGTGAACATTCAAAAATCTGTCCTACATTCATTCTTGAAGGTACTCCTAATGGGGTTAAATACCAGATCAATCGCTCTTCCATCTTGTAAATAGGGCATATCTTGTTTAGGCAAAATTTTTGAAATGATACCTTTATTTCCGTGCCTTCCAGCTACTTTATCGCCCACTTTTATTTCACGTTTCTGTAAAACATATACCTGAATCTTTTCCAGATTAGAATTGTAAAGCCCTTTCTTCTGTATCCACCTTACATCAATAACCCGACCCATCCCACCTATAGGGACTTTGAGACAAGTTTCTTTTGACGTAGATACCTGAATACCAAGTATGGCTCGTAATAATCTATCTTCCGGTGCATACGACGATTCTTTCACCACGTGAGGTGTTAATTTACCTACTAAAACATCCCCTGGCTGTACCCAAGATCCCTGCATTATAATTCCATTTATATCTAAATTGCGAATTAAATGGGCTTCTAAATGAGGGTATCTCTTTAGTGACTTGTTCAGGGCCTTGGCTTGTCACATTAGTTTTAATTTCAAATTTCCTTATGTGCAAAGAAGTATAAATCTCTTCATATACCAAGCGTTCGCTAATGAGGACTGCATCCTCAAAATTATAACCCTCCCACGGCATATAAGCTACCAATAAAGTTTTTCCGAGAGCAAGTTCGCCTTCAACCGTAGCAGCACCTTCCGCTAAAACTTGTCCCTTTTTAATAAATTGCCCGGTTCAACCTGAGGTTTTTGATGCATACACGTATTTTTGTTTGAACGTTGATACACAACTAATGGAATGCTTAGAATCTTTCCAAGGCCAGAGACCGATACAAATATATTGTCAGTATCTGTATAAACAACCTTTCCCATGTGGGCGGCTAGAACAAGAGACCCTGAATCGAGAGCTGCGTGGTGTTCTATCCCTGTTCCAACAATGCATTTCTCGGATCGAGCAAGGGGAACTGCTTGCCGTTGCATATTAGAACTCATTAAGGCTCGATTCGCATCATTATGTTCGATAAAAGGAATGAGGGAAGCTCCAATAGAAAAATATTGGAAGGAAAAAATACTTCGAAGATGAACTTGCTCCCATGCAATAGTAAGGAATTCTTGACAGTATCTAGCTGGAACAACCTGATCTTCTTGAATATTCTGATTCAAGGCCAAAGAATTTCCTGTCGTTACCATATAGTATTCATCTCTACCCGGTGATAAGTAAACCATCCGTACCCTTGTTGATCGCTCAGAAATTTCAAAAAGTGGGACTTTCTAGAGATCCCCAACGTCCAATCCTCGCATGAATTGCTAAGGATCCAATAAGCCCAACATTGCTTCCTTCTGATGTGTCAATAGGGCAAATACGCCCATAGTGGCTAGGGTGAATATCTCGGATCCGAAAACTAGCAGTGCGTCCTGTCAGCCCTCCAGGTCCTAAATAACTAAATTTTCTTGCATGAACTATTTGTGTCAATGGATTGGTTTGATCTAAAACTTGAGATAATGGGTGTAACCCGAAAAAAGATTCATACGTAGTTGTTAAGGGAGTTGAAGTTACCAAATTCTGAGGAGTGGGTATTAATTTATGACGAATTGCTTCACATATAGTGGTTTTAACGACATTTTCGAAACGAACGAGAGCTAATCCGAATTGATCTTGTAAAAGATCCGCTACAGACCGAATACGTTTATTTTGCAAATGATTCATATCATCAAGTGTACCCATTCCAAATTTGAGTCCAATCAAATGATCGGCGGCTGCTAATATATCTCGTGGTACCAAAAAAGTATTATTCTGGGGTATATCAAGATTAAGTCTTCGGTTCATATTTCGTCGACCAAGCCGTCCTAATTCACATCTTTGGTGAAAAAATTTTTTTTGTAATTCCTTACATAAGTATTTCATACCCTAACGGATCACCGCCTACGCAAGCGAATTTTTTATAAAACTCCAAAATCGCGTTTTCTTTTGAACCAATTTTTTTTGTATCCTTATCACTCAGAAAAGATAAAAAAAATTTCAGGATAACAGGCATTATCTATAACTTCTCTTAGATCTAATCCCATAGCTGATGATAGCACTAAAATCGATATTTTTTTTTTCCTACTCACACGAGCCCATATTCTTGCTTTTCTATCAATTTCTAATTCTAATCTTCCTCCCCAATCTGATATTATTGTGCCGGTGTAAACCAAAATTCCGTTATGGTCCAATTCTGACCGATAATAAATGCCAGGGCTTTGTAGTATTTGATTGATCACAATTCTATAGATTCCATTTACTATAAAACTTCCCAGGGAATTCATTAGAGGAATGCTGCCAAGAAAAATGATTTGTTCTTGCATACGTGTAGATCGATCCTTACTTGCTCTCCCAAATTAATCCTGCCAATACATAGAATTCAGAAGAATATGTTAGTGAGTCATACACAGCATCTCTTTCCTTGATCAACGGTTCTACCAATTGAGATGTTTCCACAAATAAATGAAACTGGATTTCGTGATCTAGATCTTCAATTTTTTGAAACTTAGAAAGTTCTTCCATTAAACCTTGATCAATAAACCTAGAAAATCCTTCAAATTGTATCTGATTCAATCCAGGGATTGTAGTAACTCCGCCCTTTTTTACATCTACAAGCATTTTTTTTTTAATTCCTTTTTATTTTCTTTATTATTATTTATATTGATTTTATGAAACTTTATGAATCCTTCATCTAATAGCTAAGAAAATAGATGATTTCTTAATGAGGAAATTTCTATTGTTTTTACTGAATCACATGAAATTGTATCGAACTCCATATCTGAACTATAAAAAAGATTTAGGAATTTCTAAGAATTTCATAGATAATAAAAAAAATAATTTGAAAATCTTTTTTATAGTATCTTAGAAAAAAGATTTTGATTCAACTAAAAGACACTTTTTTATATTTTTTATATTTGTAGTTAGATGGCTCAAATAAAATAAAAAAAAAAATAAAGTGGAATAAACTCACAGTATTTTTTTTAGGAGGAAAAGAAAGAAACAAGTACAATCAAAAAAGTCGTTCCCAAAGTTTTTGTATCCTTTTGGCGACATGGCCGAGTGGTAAGGCGAGGGACTGCAAATCCTTTTTTCCCCAGTTCAAATCCGGGTGTCGCCTGATTATAAAGAATTTGAAATATCTTGTTGTTCATAGGATTCCTATAAAGGAAAAGGACAATTCCGCATACTACTTGTTTGAATTATTATGTTCAAACCCTTTTTGATCGTAAACAGAATAACCTCTATCCCGTCGTTTCCTAGCTCCTATATAATCATATGGAGGATGCCAGATTAGATCGGAATGAGAATTAGCGATTTTTATATTTGTATATGGATTGCTATTTTTCTTAAATGAGGAAAATAAGGCCAGATCCTTTTGCAGTTTCGCATATTTTGCATTTTCTTTTTGGGTCATCTTCCATAATCATAATCCCTTTTTTCCTTTTTTATGTGTACTCTGCGCGGGGGATTCCGCTATTCTTATGAATTTCTTATAATTGATGAGGAACTTAGTAAAAATCAACTAGTTATAATGATAGAGGACATAATGAATATCGATATAATAAGTCTTGCTTGGGCTGCTTTAATGGTAGTTTTTACCTTTTCTCTTTCACTAGTAATATGGGGAAGGAGTGGACTATAGAGGTTCTACTAAATGAATGTTGCGTAAATAAAAATGTATTCATTTTTTTATAAAATGTTTCAGAACATGTGAATAATCCATTCTGCTCTTTCAATCTTTCAATAAAACATATTATTCAAGCAAAAAGAACGCTAATAGTTAATAGATAGTTTAGGTTAAAAAAAAAGGAGTCATCTATTGATTAATTTAGCATACTTCCTTTATTTTGTACTTTCTTAACATATTATCTATTACTATTAGTCTATTCTATGAGTCTCCTGCTTTAGTGCTGATTTGAGCCAGTTCTTTTTATTAAAATTAAAACCTTCAAAAATTTGTAATAGAATTTTTATTTTTGAATTTATTCTGATAAGATTATCTAATAATATAATGATCTAACCCAGAAGACAAGTTTATTTTAAGATAGATTAAATACTAATTAATTATTTCTATTGACAGTTTTTACGTAAATGATAAGTAGAAGGGCGGTAGGAACTAAAATCAATAAGGCCGTAGCAATAAATGCAAGAATATTGACTTCCATAATCTCGTTGTTTTTTTACTTCGCAATAACTTGGGATTTAATCCCATATAAAACTTCAAGATAAAAATGAGAAACAGTCACCTTATTGATTTATTCTTTGGATCCATCGGGACTGACGGGGCTCGAACCCGCAGCTTCCGCCTTGACAGGGCGGTGCTCTGACCAATTGAACTACAATCCCCGTCAAATAAGGAATCCAGTCAAAATTTTTATTTTTTGACCTATCTATCAGTATAGTTCTGAGATATTTTTCAAGTCCAGGTTCTTTTTTCTTATTGGGATTTGCGAATGATTGGGCCGAGCTGGATTTGAACCAGCGTAGACATATTGCCAACGAATTTACAGTCCGTCCCCATTAACCACTCGGGCATCGACCCAGGAAAAACCAAATTACTACTCAACTTTGTAATGAATCCATTAGAAGCTTCCTTTCAAAGTACCCTACCCCCCAGGGGGAATTCGAATCCCCGCTGCCTCCTTGAAAGAGAGATGTCCTAAACCACTAGACGATGGGGGGCCCACTTGTTCAACCAACCTCATACTATGATGTGATAGCAGGAACCTTTTTTTTTAAATTGTCAATAGATGTAAAATATTTAAATATTCTAACGGACCTTTGCCTTTCTAATCATTTATGTTTTTCAATTTTTTGATTTCCCATTAAGCAATCTTTGATTAGAACCCCGATTAGAAATCTAGTATTTTCCTATTTTTGGATCAATTTTTTAAAATCTACTCCGCCCAATAAGTAGTTTCTATTTCAAAATGTAGGCTCCGATGTCTTTCTTTATTCCATGTAATTCAATTAAGATTCTTATAATATGAAATATTCATATCTATCCGAATCTACATTATTATTGAAATTCATAATATGAAATTTCATATCAATAGACTAGCTATATATCTTTTATAGATGTCTATTTTCTGGATTTTCTTAATATATTAGGAATTCAATGGAATACGCCCCTTTAAACTCAGTGGTAGAGTAACACCATGGTAAGGCGTAAGTCATCGGTTCAAATCCGCTAAGGGGCTCATTTAAGTCTTTTTTTATGTAATAAGAATAAATAAATGGATAATATCTTATCCTGATCATGAATATTATTGCATTTTTTTAGATTTGAAATAAAAGTTTAACTTTTGTTTATATTTAATTATTTGAATTATATATTATACTCTATACTAAAGTTATCAAATCTAAAAAGAAATAAAAAAAAGAGCTATCAATTCTGAAATCCTAAAATATTATTATTTTTTTTTATGACAACCAAGGAAACTAAAGTGGATCTGACTCATGTAAGAATGGCTAAAGTCGCTATTATGATATATGATATTCAAATTAGATAGAGAGAAAAAGATATAAAAGTGCAATAATTCATTTTCATTATCATTATATAATACTAATGAAAATGAGGAAATAAGTCTGAGAACATTTTTTTTTTATATGGATGGATCTATCCAATGAAATGGGTATTAGCTATTCAGAATGCAAGGATAAGTTCTCAAAAGAAGAATCCAAGTAAGTTCATGGATTTCTTTATACCATTTATGGACCAATCATTCAAATATTTCCAAAAAAATTGGATCTTCGAAACCGATGGGAAGGGGCGATCCAAGATAAATCATATCGCAATGATAAAAATATTCAGATGTCCCAAAAATGCTATGCGGTGCTCGGAAATGGTCAACGTAGTTGAATAGGAGGATAACTATGACTATAGCTCTTGGTAAATTTACCAAAGACGACAAGGATTTATTTGATAATATGGATGACTGGTTACGTAGGGATCGTTTCATTTTTGTCGGTTGGTCCGGCTTATTGCTCTTTCCTTGTGCCTATTTCGCTATAGGCGGTTGGTTCACAGGTACAACCTTTGTAACTTCATGGTATACCCATGGATTGGCTAGTTCCTATTTAGAAGGGTGTAATTTCTTAACTGCCGCAGTTTCTACTCCTGCTAATAGTTTAGCCCATTCTTTGTTGTTACTATGGGGGTCCTGAAGCGCAAGGAGATTTTACTCGTTGGTGTCAATTAGGAGGTTTGTGGACTTTTGTTGCTCTCCACGGAGCTTTCGGACTAATAGGTTTCATGTTACGCCAATTTGAGCTTGCCCGATCCGTTCAATTGCGACCTTATAACGCGATCGCATTTTCTGCTCCAATTGCTGTTTTTGTTTCTGTATTCTTGATTTATCCATTAGGTCAGTCTGGTTGGTTCTTTGCACCGAGTTTTGGGTGTAGCAGCTATATTCAGATTCATCCTGTTTTTTCAAGGGTTTCATAATTGGACATTGAACCCTTTTCATATGATGGGAGTTGCCGGTGTACTAGGCGCTGCCTTGCTATGTGCTATTCATGGTGCTACCGTGGAAAATACTTTATTTGAAGACGGCGATGGCGCAAATACATTTCGCGCTTTTAACCCAACTCAATCTGAAGAAACTTATTCAATGGTTACTGCTAATAGATTTTGGTCCCAAATATTCGGGGTTGCTTTTTCAAATAAACGTTGGTTACATTTCTTTATGTTATTTGTACCCGTAACCGGTTTATGGATGAGTTCTCTGGGAGTAGTTGGCCTAGCCCTGAACCTACGTGCCTATGATTTTGTTTCTCAAGAAATTAGGGCAGCAGAAGATCCCGAATTTGAAACTTTCTACACAAAAAATATTCTATTAAATGAAGGTATTCGTGCTTGGATGGCCGCTCAAGATCAGCCTCATGAAAACCTTATATTCCCTGAGGAGGTTCTACCACGTGGAAACGCTCTTTAATCGAACTTTAGACTTTACTGGTCGGGATCAAGAAACCACGGGTTTCGCTTGGTGGGCGGGGAATGCCCGACTTATAAATTTATCCGGTAAACTACTGGGGGCCCATGTAGCCCATGCTGGATTAATAGTATTTTGGGCTGGAGCAATGAATTTATTTGAAGTAGCTCATTTCGGACCAGAGAAGCCTATGTATGAACAAGGATTAATTTTACTTCCACACCTAGCTACTCTAGGTTGGGGGGGTAGGGCCCGGCGGGGAAGTTCTAGACACCTTTCCTTACTTTGTTTCTGGAGTACTTCATTTAATTTCATCTGCCATATTAGGCTTTGGCGGTATTTATCATGCACTTCTGGGACCTGAGACGCTTGAAGAATCTTTTCCTTTCTTTGGTTATGTATGGAAAGATCGAAATAAAATGACCACAATTTTAGGTATTCACTTAATCTTATTAGGTATAGGTGCTTTTCTTTTAGTGTTAAAGGCGCTTTATTTTGGAGGTGTATATGATACCTGGGCCCCGGGAGGGGGAGATTTAAGAAAAATTACCAGCTTGACCCTGAGTCCAGGTATTATATTTGGTTATTTACTGAAATCTCCTTTTGGTGGGGACGGATGGATTGTTAGTGTAGACGATTTAGAAGATATAATTGGAGGGCATGTATGGTTAGGTTCAATTTGTATACTTGGTGGAATCTGGCATATCTTAACTAAGCCCTTTGCATGGGCCCGCCGCGCACTTGTCTGGTCTGGTGAAGCTTATTTATCTTATAGTTTAGGGGCTTTATCCGTATTTGGTTTCACCGCTTGTTGTTTTGTTTGGTTCAATAATACCGCTTATCCTAGTGAGTTTTACGGACCTACTGGACCAGAAGCTTCTCAAGCTCAAGCATTTACCTTTCTAGTTAGAGACCAGCGTCTTGGAGCGAACGTGGGATCCGCTCAAGGCCCTACTGGTTTAGGTAAGTATCTAATGCGTTCTCCCACGGGAGAAGTCATTTTTGGAGGAGAAACTATGCGCTTTTGGGATTTGCGTGCTCCGTGGTTAGAGCCTCTAAGGGGACCAAACGGGTTAGATTTGAGTAGGTTGAAAAAAGACATACAACCTTGGCAGGAACGACGTTCCGCCGAATATATGACTCACGCCCCTTTAGGTTCTTTAAATTCCGTGGGTGGCGTGGCTACCGAGATTAATGCAGTCAATTATGTCTCTCCTCGAAGTTGGTTAGCAACCTCACATTTTGTTCTAGGATTTTTCTTTTTCGTAGGTCATTTGTGGCACGCAGGAAGGGCTCGTGCAGCTGCAGCCGGATT